TAACCTTAAGCTTTCCTCGAGAGGTACGACCTTGAGTAAAAGCTCCAAGACAGACGAGGAACTGCTTGAGCTTAAGCTTGTACTTTGCATGCAGGGACCCTCAATCCTGAAAGCTTATGGTGATATCACTTCACATTTTACCTGCAGGGCCCAGATATACATGAAAGCTTACGGTGGTGCTTCCATCGTCGCCCATGGGTGAGTCGGTGAGATGAAACATTTAACTATGCCATTTGTTGAGATCTGAAAATTTTATATTCAAAATATTAAACTTATGGACCAATATTGATTTTCTTAAAAATAAAATTAAAGAAATTAGAGTTTGGGTTGGGTTGAAAATCCACGTGGGGTGTATTTATACCATTAATTATCGAAGTATATACTCGAGAGGCTTCTGGTTCGGTCGGTCAGTAAAACTCACCCCAATCGATTTGTCTAGTTTCGTGTAGTTAGTGATGATTCTATCTTGATCTTCTTGATCTTGTTGTCATTGTTGACATGATTAGTTGTTAATACTGGAGATGGGTCACTTCTTTTCTTTTCAAGAGATGGGTAATTAATATCCAATAATTTGTTTAATTTGGTCCATTATTGGTTTTAATGATTGGATTAGAGTGAGGTCTAAGATGCAAAGGATCTTGACTTTTATGGTTGAAATTATTAATTTCTTTATAACTAATTACCCTTTTTTTCCCATGTATTCGTATAAATTTTATTCAAATTACAATTAATATTAGTATTTTTTAGAAGTTATAATTTTCATATTTGTCGTCTTTCTCATCCATTTGATCACATAAACAATATACAATTAAACACATACTTTTCGTCATTTTTAAGGTTTTTTTTTAATAAAAATTTAAAACTTTACAAAATTTGAGGGTACAGTTGAAATAAATATTTAAAGGTTTTTTTTTTTTTTTTTTTTTTGTGAGAATCATTTGTTTATTCGAGCATTATAAAAAGTAGGTAAATTATAAATAGAATATTTTATACTTTTTATCTATTAGATATAATAGAAAATGGAAAATAATAATAGCTAACAATAATAAAATATATTAAAAGAGGCAAGAGCTCAAAACCATAATTGTTCATGGGGAACAGACATTCTCGTCCTCATAATGCTCAAAATCTTCTAGCTGTTACACCATCATTTATTATGAACAAACCAAACAAGTTACCATGTTTGAGATTGATTCTCCGGCGCCGATCAGCTTCACTCCGGGAACTTACTTCCGGCTACATCAACAACGAACCTGTATCTAACATCGTTCTTCTCCAACCTCTCCAGAGCCTTGTTTATGTAATCCAGCTTTATCACTTCAATCGTGGAGGTCAGCTCCTTCTCTTTGAAGAAATCCAACACCTCTTGTATCTCCGTCATGCTTCCGATGAAGGTCCCGGCAATCGTCTTCCTCCCTGTTCAGAAAACAGAGTTAAAAACAGAGCTAAAAACAGAGCTACAAACAGAGCACCGCTTTGATTAGATTCACGGCGAGAGATTTACCGAGCATAAGGAGAGGCGAAACGAATTGCATTGGGGTGTTAATGACACCCATCATGATCAATTTGCCGTCGAGTTTTAGCAGAGAGAGGTACGGCTCGAGCGGATGAAAAACAGGGACTGTGTCGATGATGTAATCCAGCGAGCCTACGGCTCGTTCCATTTGAGTTGCGTCGGAGCTGACCAAGTACTCGTCTGCGCCGAGATGTTCCAGAGCTTCCTTCCTCTTCTTCTCCGACGAGCTTATCACCGTCACATGGTGGCCTAAACCCTTCGCCACTTGCACGCCCATATGCCCAACGCCGCCCAGACCCAAAATTCCGCCTCTTAGCCCACTCTGTTTCAGTCCAAAGTGGCTCAGTGGGCTGTACACCGTCACTCCCGCGCACAACAGCGGCGCCGCCTGCTCCGGCGACATCCCTTCAGGGATTTTCACCACAAACCTTTTCAAAACAAAGTTGTAAATCAGTGATTTAGTAAATCGAAGACCACTGTAAAACAAGGATTTCAAGTGAGGGAATTTACTTTTGGTGCACGACCATGGCGGAGGAGAATCCACCTTGAGTGGGTCGGCCGTCGAGATACACATCATTATAGGTCCAGATCTTCTTGTTACAGTACTGCTCCTTATCGGAATTACAAGGACCGCAACTCGAACAGGATCCAACAATACACCCAACACCGACCAAATCCCCAACTCTGAATCGACTCACTTCCGATCCAACCTCAACCACTTCTCCGACCGCTTCATGTCTGTTCCGACAAAAGAAATCAAACCCAAGTACACAAAAACAGAGAACCGACAAAAAAAAACGGCGTAATCATTTAATTACCCAGGAACCATGGGGTAATTGGACATGCCGAGCTCATTCTTGATTTGGTGAAGATCGGAGTGACAGATTCCACAGCAAATCACTTTGATGAAAACATCATCCGGGCCGGTGTTTCTGCAAGAAAGAAATCAAACCCAGAGAAGTAAGAGAAATGATTCGCAGATGAAAGAAAAACAGAGCAAGAACAGAAGATGACCGGAGAGTATAAGTGTAGGGAGACAGAATCCCGGACGGGTCTTTGGCGGCAAGACCGGTAACGGTTCTGTCGGATTCAATGCTGCCCATTGCTTCAACAGAGAGAACAATGGAGGAAGAAGAAGCTTGGTGAAAAGGGAATGGAATGGAAGCACTTAAATACAGAATGAGAGACTTCTCAATGAAGAAGACAGCACAGCGATGGAGCGTGACGTGGCTAACAGGGTTGGTGAAATCCGAGTGGTTTTGATCACCTACATCGCATTCCCACACGTGGGGTCCACTTCCTTTTTAAGAGAATTTTAAAAAATAAAATACACAGTAATATTTACCTCACTGCCACGTGTCCTTATCATATTTACGTCATTTGATAAAATGGACGATGCAGATTAATCTAAGCGAGAGTTACATTATTTTTATTACTTTTTAATTCTAATTTTTTAGAATAATAATAGAAAAAGGTTATACTTTTATTTTAAAATTATTACTTTAAGGGTTTTTTTTTTGTTGCCATAAAAAATAAATTTTATACTTAAAAAATCCCACTAATTTTGATTTTATTTAATTTAATATTTGAATTAATCTCCCTCTCTCTCCTTAATTGTATTTAAAATTTAGTTAATTTTTTTTTAATATAATAAAGTTGATTAAATTTTGAGAATAATAAGAAAATAATTAATAACTATAAAACATTATTAAGAAAAGTTTAATTTAAAAAATATATTATTTTTAATATTATATTGTAAATAAAATATAATAAATTTAATTTTATGCTTGCTCTCCAAGAAACTATGCTTTTTTACTGACATTGCCTTTTTAATTCTTACCATTTTAGAAAAAAGGGTAACTTTAATAAAAAGTAATTGTTTTATCAAAATTTGACTAAATTTCAATAATTATTTTTAAATAGTAAAATGCTAAATATAGAAGGAAAAATAAAAAACAAACAGATTAAAATAATATATCTTAATTTAGTATATAATTTATGTGAAAATTCTTTTTCATTAATTTATTTTAATAATTTTAATGTGACAATTATAATATTTATCTAATTTTAAAGCTGCATTTAATGAAATTGCAAATTTATAGTAAAAAATAAAAATAAAAAAAAATTTAACGTCCAATTTTCCACTCTGTTTTTTGTATTTTTCATATAATTTAAAAAAAAATTGTCCAATAAAATTAAAAGTTCAGATAAGTAATTAATTTACACCTAAAATGTAGGAATACTTTATTTTTATTTATTTTTTATTTTATTTTATTTTATTTTAGAAATTATTGGCTTTTTATTTCTTCCCTTTTTACCTAACCAAATAGATTATTACTTATTAGGGGATTTGGAAGGTAGGATTTGTTTATAGAGTTTGCCCTAATTTTCAATTTTCAATTTCCCTTTTTGCCCCTCATAGATATATTATTTATTGCTTTTGTTTCACTTAATTATTGTTAATAAAAATTATTAATTTCTCGAACATTTAATTTCGTGATATAAATTCCCGTAGAAGATGATTCATGTGCACCACGGCTCGTGTTAACATAAATATAAAAAGACATAAAATCCCACCTCTAATCTCCATTTTTTTTAATCGGGACGTGCATAAATTAAACTCTTGAGATATGTATCAGTGGGGGAAGAGAGAAGAAGACGATGATTTAGCTTGTGGGGTTCGGGTTTCTATTATTTTCCTCTTCCAAAATTTAAATTTTAAATTAAACACCAAATTGGGTTTCAATTAGGAAAATATTTGAAAAAAGTATAAGAAATTAATTTTTTTAATTAAATAAGTAAAAATAAAAAATCTAGAATAATGAATTTAAGACTTAATTAAAAAACTTTATTTGGTCTTACTAGAATGTTAAAAGTTATGGGCCCACCAAGTGAGCTCAAAATACTTGCAAGCCCAATCCAATGGCCCAATCAGATTGCATCACATTGACACGTAAGCCTAATTAAATATTGATCGTAATAAACATAGCCAGCCAAATCCTAATAATGACAGCTGGAAATCCTAAAAATTGGGAGAAAATAATTTATATAATTTTTTAAATTCAAGATAAATCGAGAATAATTTGACTCTTAGTTCGGTTATGTTTGGATTAATAACGTGGACATCGCATAGTACTAAGTAGCTTCATGTACTATGTCGTTTTGTGTAAATTATATTGAATATTAACTCGATTGATAATAACATATGTTGTTGTTTGAAATCAAAGGCTCAACGTGTTAGACGAACACAACTCTCCACAATGGTATGATATTATCTACTTTGAGTCGAAGTTGTCAAGAGTTTGCTCTGAGCTTCCCAAAAAGCCTCATGCGAAGATAGCATTCTTTGGTTATAAATTTATGATTCTTCCTTAAATTAGCTCACGTGTGACTTTGATTCATGAACCATCCTTGATGGAGGAGGAAAAATATGGTTTCGTCTTTATTTCTCAAGAGTCAAAGATCATGGTTGAAGAAATTGCAGACGTTCCAACCAATCGACGGAAATTTTCATTATGGGTTTGTCTGAATCCGGGTATCTTCTAAAATAGGCGGAAGACCCGGATATTATCTCTTCAATCCCTTGTTCGATTAACCCAAAATCATCCAGGTTCATTGTTCTTCTCCTCCGATTGGCTCAAATTTGACAAGATTCTTTACATTTCCTCACGGATTTCGATGTCGATCTAGATTTTTGGCTGACGAAGTGGAAATTTCACCCTTCATTTCTAACTTTCTTAAGCCCTCGAAGCAAAAGCCCGTCGGAGTTCGTCACTCTCTGCCGTTCCTTATGGCCTTCTCTGAGTTCCGTCCGCTTGATGAGAGCTCCCTGATTGAGTACATTAAGACTGTTCCTTCGCTGTCTGACAAGCTGGGTAATAAGTTCGATGATATTCAGATTAAGGAAATCGGAGATGGTAACCTTAATTTCGTTTACATAGTCTCGGGTTCATCTGGATCCTTTGTTATCAAGCAGGTGACCTAATTTCTTGTCATTTTAGCTTATGTGTTGAATTTCTGTTGCTATGGCTTGACTTGTTTGTTTGTGTTGGGGAAGTTTTGGGGTTTAGGGTTTATGTGGGTTGAAGAAAGATGATTATTAATTCATGTCTTCGAGTTTGATAGCTTAGTTGAGCTTGCTGAAGAGACCTAGACTGAGTTTGGGTAAATTTTGATCTTGAAAATTCTAAATACATTTCAGAATAAGTGTTTGTAGAGGCTTTCAGCAGTGCTTATAGATGAATGTTTCACCCAGAAACACTAGTTTTTAAGGTGGTTTCGAACTTTTTTCTGTGGGTTTTGAAATGTTTGTATGTTAGGGAGCTTCTTCATAACTTTGGCTGTTCTTGGAGGAGGTACTTTGTGATCTCACAAATCGGTTGGAGAGGAAAACGAAACATTTCTTATAAGGGTGTGGAAACTTGATGATACGTAATGAGTCAAGGTGGACAATATCTACTAGGGGTGGACTTGGACTGTTACTAATGGTATCAGAATCAGACATCGGGCGGTATGCCAACGAGGACACTGGCCCCAAGGGAGTGGATTGTGAGATCCCACATTGGTTGGAGAGGGAAACGAAACATTCCTCGTATGGGTGTGGAAACCTCTTCCTAGCAAACGCGTTTTAAAATCGTGAGGCTAATGACGATACGTAACGGATCAAAACGGACAATATCTGCTCGCAGTAGGCATGTACGGTTAGATACCCTGTTCTGGGAGGGATTTTATCATTTGAAGTCTGGTTTTCTTTATCATACAGGCTCTTCCCTACATTCGTTGCATAGGGGAATCATGGCCAATGACAAAGGAGCGAGCATATTTTGAGGCAGTGGCATTGAGAAAGCATGGACTTTTGTGCCCAAATCATGTGCCTGATGTTTATCACTTCGATCGTACCATGTCGTTGATTGGCATGCGTTACTTGGAACCTCCTCATATAATCCTGAGGAAAGGTTTGATCGCTGGAATTGAGTATCCATTGCTGGCAGATCACGTAACGGAATACATGGCGAAGACTCTCTTCGGCACGTCGATCCTTTATAATTCTACCACCGTGCACAAAGAATCCGGTACTTCCATGTTTTTGCTTGCCTATGAAGATGTTTTTAGTTACCATGTTAAGAAAAAGAGACAGGGTTATATAGCTTGCATACTTCATATGTGCAGTTGCAGAGTTCTGTGGGAATGTGGAGCTATGCAGGCTCACTGAGCAAGTTGTGTTTTCTGACCCATACAAAGTGTCTGAATACAATCGTTGGACATCACCGTATCTTGATCACGATGCCGAGGCTGTTAGAAACGACAACGATTTGAAGGTCGAGATTGCTGAGTTGAAAGCAAAGTATGTTATACTCTTCGTTTGCCGATTCTTTTCTCTCTTTCTGCTTGAAATTGTAAAATTTTTTTCTTTAATGAGTTGTATGGAAGTTGACTCAGATAATACATATGATGAGCTTGTATGTAACACCGTTAGTAGATATTATCCGTTTTAGCCCGTTACGTATCGCCGTCGGTCTCACGATTTTAGAACATGTCTGTTAGGAATGTATCGTTCCCCTCTCTAACCGATGTGGAATCTCACAATCCACTCACCTTAGAGTTCTGGTGTCTGACTCTGATAGCATTTGTAACAGCCCAAGCTCACATCTAACAACTAACGGTGGGGCTGTTACATTGTATGCATATATAAACTGTATATATGTTCGTGATGCTAGAATGTGACTCTAATAGGGAGATTTATTTATGATATGTGGCACTTGGGTTGTCTGTGCAGGTTTATAGAGAGAACCCAGGCGCTTGTTCATGGAGATCTTCACACAGGGTCCATTATGGTTACTCAAGAATCAACACAAGTTATAGATCCAGAGTTCGCATTCTATGGACCAATGGGATTCGATATCGGAGCATTTCTGGGGAACTTAATCTTGGCCTTCTTTTCACAAGATGGACATGCCGTGGAAGGCAACGATCGAAATGTAAGTATAAATCACAATCGAGACTGATAACGTTATCCATCCATAGTTTAGTGGATAAGACAGCTATTTACCATTGATCCGGTTCTTACTGACCATTGTCAATGTAATGCGATTCAGGCATACAAGGAGTGGATTCTGAGGACGATCGAAGAGACATGGAATCTGTTTCGTAAGAAGTTCGTGGGACTATGGGAGCTGCACAAGGATGGTCCTGGGGAGGCTTATCTCCCTGCCATTTACGACAACCCCGAGCTCCAGCAGCTGGTTCAGAACAAATATTTAACCGACTTGTTCCACGACAGCCTTGGTTTCGGAGCAGCTAAAATGATCAGGTTTAGTCTCAAATCTTAAATCAATCATCATCCAGCAGTCTTAATAAGTAAACTGCTCAATTCAAAACCCCTCTGTTATGTTATGTTATGACAGGAGAATAGTGGGAGTGGCTCATGTGGAAGACTTAGAATCAATCAGTGAGCCCAGCAAGCGCGCAGCCTGCGAGAGGCGAGCCCTTGAATTGGCTAAGTTACTTCTAAAGCAAAGGCGAAATTTCACTTCCATTTCTCAGGTCATTTCTGCCATTCGTGAACTCCATTAATCAATGCAATGCCTCATCGACCCCGAAAATGAAGCTGCTGGAATTCCCGATCATTCCCGACCCATGATTTCTCGAGTTTAGTTAAAATAAAATATGATCGGAGTTGCTACCACTATACTAATGCCCATCTTCTTCATTACTCTGCATTTTCAACTTGTTCTGTTCTTCAAAGTACTGGGTTTGTATTATTGAGAGAAGTTAGATATTGTTTGCAAATTCATGGACAATAAGCATTCCAAATACCAGCCAAAAAATGAATCAATTGCAGACAAAATTTACATTTTCATGTTCTTGGAATGTTCTGAATTTGTATGATTCAAAATTTGACATCCACGCAGGATGTCTGTCGTTTTACGTGGAACCCGACAGGCCTTCCGTTGTCAGCTTCGGTCCCAAGAAATGTTTCACTCTTCCGCACTGACAGGGAAACAAAACCTGTCATCTTAAATGATCTCTCAGTTCTTCCATGAATCATAATGTGACAAATTCGCAATCCCAGTGACGAACAATATGAACCACCAGATCTTCCCGGAATTTCCGTGGCTTCCATTTCTTCTATCTTGGCTCTCCCATCATCACCCATTCTTCTTTAAGAACACGAACCATGCTCTGTTTTCTTTTCAATTACTAACAATGGATGTCTGGTCTTGGATTTCTGAGCTCCCCAGCTCCGACGACTGGAACCAGTCCATTTCTGTCTTCCAACTCGCTAATCATGGAAACTCGGCGATTCACCTCACTGCCGAGCGCTCCACCGGCGCCGATTCCGATATGGTTCTTACCTTCGCCGTCACACTTAAGGGGTTCAGGTCGTTTAGCGAGAGCAAGACCTTGTGGGTTTCCAACACGTGTCCTCTGTCGTTGGAGAAGCCGTTCCTTCCTCTGGTTCTTCAACTTCTTCAAGAAATCATTTCCCGGTCGCCGGCCGGGCAGAAGAGCACCTGTCCCCGCTCTCGTCTACAGAAACTGAAACCCGACCCGGTTTCCTGGATTATGGACTCTCACTCGCCGGAATCTTTCTCCGGCTTCTTCAACCTTATTTTCCTCATCCGACTCTTTTGGGTCTGTGCTTGCGATGCTCCTGCTGAAATCGGCTCCTTCTACTTCGACTACTTGCTTTCCCCACACCTTGAAACTATGTCGTCGAACCACGCGCCGGTATTGCGAACGTTTCTAGTCACCATCGGCGTCGATGCTGAGCTCTGTTTCACTCGCACGCTCGGTTACGTGATAGCGAAATGGTTGATTCTCAGAGAAGTTGGCGTTGGGTTACAGACGCTAACCCACGCGCCGCCGCAACGAAGTCTGGGTTTCACCTACGCGACGGAGGCGCACGGCTTGTGGATTCTGAAAGGCCACGCGCCGGTTATGGGGATGAAGGTCACCCGCGCCGGTGGAAGCCGGAAATACCAGTTTCCCTTGATTGAAGCGAAAGAGTCAGCGTTGAGATACGCTCTGGCCCACCAACAGCTCGAGGCCGTCGTTCAGTTTGAATATTCCGTCCGGTACCACGACGGCTATGTCCACGTGGGTACACGTGTCGACAACATTAGGCTCCACGTGGCGAGATTAGCCCTGGGGAGCGTCGATGACGTGGAGTACGCAGAGGAGAGGCATTTCGTCTCTCGAGTTCGGGTATGGGTTGGGCCGGAAGTCGGGGCGAATTATGTCGGGGCGGTGAGTTTAGGGCGGTCGACGGAGAACGCCGAACGGGAGGTAAAAGTGCAGAAGATTCTGAAGGGCAGATTTGGAAAAACGAAAATGTCAACGGTGAAGGCGACGGCGAGGACGTCGACGAGGACGACGATGAAAAACTGGCGGTGGGACCAGGAGGCGGAAGGGAACGCGGCGGTGTTCGAGGCGGTGCTGTGCGACAACACGACGGGGAATGAGGTGTCGACGAAAAAGAATCCGAGTGGAAACGAGAACGGCGACGGCGGGGAGACCTTTCAGAATCGGTACAGTGGAACGAATCGGGCTTTCACGAAGACCGGAGGAGTGGTTTTCGCCGGCGACGAGTACGGGGAGGAGGTGGGATGGCGGCTGAGCAAAGAGACGGAAGGGAGTGTGCTAAAATGGCGAATTGGAGGCCAAATTTGGCTAAGTTATTGCCCAAATGAGATGAGAATTCCATATCATGAAACCAGGTGTGTGGAGTGGTGTGATGAGGTTGACTTGCCTTTAATTCCCACCAAATGAAACAAAAACCCTAATCTTGTAATTATTATCATCATTCCATGTAGCTTTAAATCATATACTCATGGCCTAGGGTTTCACTCTTATGTTCGTGATCTGATCGAATATATCGCTTGATAATTTTCATATGCGACCGTTTTTCTTTAAATGGGTAGCCTCAGGAACAGGGCTCGGAGCCCAAGCCCACATGCCCATAAACCCTAAACGAATCCAAAAGGGTAAAAAAGTCTTTTGTGCTCATTTCAATTCGAGACGAGAATTACAAAACGTTACCTAATGTGGAAGGGAACACCACAAGTCAACCACTGTCGAGCTATAAGGTTGTAGTTTCCTTTTTCGTAATTTTGGAAAGTTGAACATACCACGTCCAAGCATATAAATGAAAGATTCATCTGTAGTAACCTAGATGTTAGAGAGTGTTGAGCATAGAGACCTCTAGCGCCTTTTTTTGTAGCACTCCTATCTCTAAAAGGCAAGAGCGACGACCTAATTGGGCGTCCCTCCAAGATCCTCTGTAAACTTATGCTCGGAGAGGCCTTTGCTTTCATTTCTTAAAGATCAGAAGGTCACCCTCGAACCACATGGTATCACTACTTTATAGTATATTATCACACTAATGCGAGATCTTACCGTGCAAGAACATAGTTAACTCTTGTGCTAGTCGACATGCCCATCTCGACCGACACCTTCTCAATCAAATTCACTCGTCAACAAAAATACTTCCCGTTACAATACGTTACGATACCACATTAAATGAATAACAACCCTAAATCGAAAGAGAAAACCATAGGCATGTCAGTAGGTTTACCAAAACTATTACTCAATTATCCAACTTTAATAATAGCAACCTTCAATTTAATGATGCTAGTAAATTATTATTTATAATATAATCATAATTTATAAAAAAAATTAATTTTTTTTATTAATAAATATAGATTTTAAAACGTGTCGCACTCATTAGTATTTCTAGACTATGATTATTTACCATTACACATACAATTACCAATGCACCGTAATTAATAATTACATTAATTTTCTTCCACCAGAGATAAATTAAATAATTGTTCGAGATATTAGTGAAATAATTGACTTCCTTAATTTGAAAAATTTGATAATATATATATATATATTTACTAAAAGGTAAAAAAATATAAAATAATGTGTATATGTGGTTTATTGTACGTTAAATAATAATAATAATGACGTGTAAATTTTAACGAGAACTCCCTGATCACACATTCCCTCATCCATATATTCTTGAAGTATATTAAAAATTAAAGATTTTAATAAATACGCTACATTAAATGAAGTAACTTTATTTTATTTTATTATTTTTTTATGTAGCTATATGGTTGAAATATATTCGGTTAGGTAATGAAAATTAATGTAATGAAAATTAATGTGCTACATATACCTAAAAACTTAGGCAATTATTATTCAATTATATTCACGTCAAAAAGTTATACGCATTTAATCTTCGTTATTTTAACTCGTACTTCCTTCGTCAAATCAATTTAAATTATTTATTAACTATATGTTTTTAAAAATCAGCTCAAAATTATTTAAATAATATATTAAAAAAAAAAAAAAAACCATAGAGATAAGAAAAACATTCAACTACCTTGTCTTCAGTTCTTGTTTCCCTCTCATTCTGCCGTTTTCCACTTCGATTCTTCATGTTGCTTCGAACGATGAAGACCCATCTTCTTGCTGTGCTTCTGGTTCATCTTTGTTTCGCCTTTGCCATGGCGGAGAGCTCCGACCCTTTGAAGCTTACGTTTAATGGCTCCGCCAAGCACTGGACTGATGCCATTCCTCTTGGGAATGGGCGGCTTGGAGCGATGGTTTGGGGCGGTGTGGACACTGAGATTCTTCAGCTCAATGGTTTGGTCCCTTTGTGATGTATTGAATTTTAGTAAGTGAATGTAGAGTTTGAGTTTGACTTATGTGATGGAAATTGATGCAGAGGATACACTTTGGACCGGAACTCCTGCGGATTATACCAATCCAGATGCTCCTGTGGCTCTGAAAGAGGTTAGAAAGCTTGTTGATGATGGAAAATATGCTGAAGCTACTGAAGCCGCCGTCAAGCTGTCGGGAAATTTGTCTGATGTAATGCTTCTCAACCCCTTTTAATAAGATTTCTTAGTGCACATTGTGATCCTTTAATGAATTTACTCCCTCCCTGAAGCGGTTCTTAATGAATATTCTTTGTTGTTCTTTGCTATCTTTTTGTTTCCGGTCTCTAGTATGCTCGTCTCTTCCCACCGCTATCAGATATTGTCTTCTTTGAGCTTTCCCTCAAAGCTTAATGCGTCTAGAAGGAGAGATTTCCGAGCTCTTGTAAAGAATGTTTTGTTTCCCTCTCTAACTGATATGAGATCTCACAATCCATCCCCCTTCCGGGCCAATGTCCTTGCTAGCACTTATTCCATTCTTCAATTGACGTGAGATGCCCCAATCCACCTGCTTCAGGGCCAAATATCCTTTCTGGCACATTGCCTTGTGTCCACCCCCTCGGGGCCCAGCATCCTTGCTGGCACACCGCCTCGTGTCCACCCCTTCGAGGCCCAGTGTCCTTGCTGGCACACTGCAGTCCACTCCCCTTCGGAGCTCAGCCTCTTCGCTGGCACATCATCTGGTGTTTAGTGCTAATACCATTGTAATAGTCCAAGCCCAGCAAATATTGTCCTCTTTGGGTTTTCCCTTCTCGGCATCCCCTCAAGGCTTTAAAATTCATACGTTAGGGAGAGGTTTCCACACTCTTAGAAAAATGTTTCATTCCCCTCTCCAACCAATTTGAGATCTGACAATCCACCTCCCTTCGAGGTTTAGCATCCTCGCTGACACTCGTTCCCTCTCCAATCGATGTGGGATCTCACAATCCATCACCTCGGGGTCCAGCGTCTTCGCTAACACACCGCCCGATGTCCACCCACCTTCGGAGCTCATCATCCTCGCTGGCACATTATCCGGTGTCCACCCCCCATTCGAGACTCATCATCCTTGCTGGCACACCGCCTGGTGACCACCCCTTAGGGGCTCATTGTCCTCGCTGGCACACCGCCCGGTGTCTAGCTCTGATACCATTTGTAACGACTCAAGCCCACCGCTAGCAAATATTGTCCTTTTTGGGTTTTCCCATTCAGGCTTCGCCTCAAGGTTTTTATAACACGTATACTAGGAAGAAGTTTCCACACCTTTATAAAGAATATTTCGTAATATTTCGTTCCTTTGATCATGCAGGTTTATCAACTTCTGGGTGACATCAAACTTGAGTTTGATGCATCCCATCAATCATATACTCCAGAGACATATCATCGAGAATTAGACTTGAATACAGCCACAGCAAGAGTGAAATACTCAGTGGATGACATAGAATTTACAAGGGAACATTTTGCTTCTAATCCTGATCAAGTAATTGTAACCAAGATCTCTGCTACCAAACCAGGATCCTTGTCATTTTCAGTGTCCATGGATAGCAAGTTACATCACACCTCGCATGTAGTAGATGGCCAAAGTCTAATCATACTGCAGGGAAGCTGTCCAGGCCTGAGAATCCCACCAAAAATGGATTTAGATGACAATCCCAAGGGCATTCAATACTCTGCTGTTCTTAGCTTACAGGTTAATAATGGAAGTGGTGTAGTACACGATTTAGATGAAAAGAAGCTAAAGGTTAATGGCTCAGATTGGGCTGTGTTGCGTCTGGTGGCTTCATCTTCATTTAAAGGGCCATTTACAGAGCCTTCATTGTCTGGGAAGGATCCTTCTTCAGAGTCACTTGCTGCAATGATGAAGATTAAAAACATGTCTTATTTGGATCTTTATGGACGCCATTTGAATGACTATCAGAGTCTTTTTCATCGTGTTTCATTGCAGCTTTCAAAGGGCTCTAAGAATGGATCTTCTGGAAGGAAGGGAGTTAGAGTAGCTTCTACTGCTGAGAGAGTGAAGTCTTTTGGGAGTGATGAGGATCCAGCTTTGGTTGAGCTGCTATTCCAATATAGTCGGTATCTACTCATTTCTTGTTCAAGGCCTGGAACTCAGGTGGCAAATCTTCAAGGTATATGGAACAAGAACATCGCACCAGCATGGGAGTAAGTTTTTGGTTTTGTGTTTGTTTTTCAATAGTGAACCATGACTTTATCTCTCTCTCTCACTCGACCTACCTTTCTCTCGACCCTTTGGTTTGGTATTGTGAGATGTCACGTCGGTTGGAGAGGGGAACGAAGTATTCCTTAAAAGGGTGTGGAAACCTCTTTCTAGGGGATGCGTTTTAAAACCTTGAGGGAAGCCTGGAAGGGAAAGCTCAAAGAGGATAATATCTGCTAGTGGTGGACTTAGGTTGTTAGAAATGGTATTAGAGTCAGACACTGAGTGATGTGCTAACGAGGATGTTGGGCCTCCAAGGGGGTGGATTGTGAGATCCCATGTCGTTGGAGAGGGGAACGAAACATTCCTTATAAGGATGTGGAAACCTCTCTCTAGTGGACGAGTTTTAAAACTTTAAGGGGAAGCCTAGAAGGGAAAGCTCAAAGAGGACAATATCTGTTAGAGGTGGGCTTAGGTTGTTACAAATGGTATCAGAGTTAGACACCAAGCGGTGTGCCAGTGAGGACGCTGGGCTCTTAAGGGATGGTTTGTGAGATCCCACATCGGTTGGAGAGGGGAATGAAACATTCCTTATAAGGGTGTGGAATCCTCTCTAGTGGACACATTTTAAAATCTTGAGGGGAAGCTCAGAAGGGAAAGTCCAAAGAGAATAATATCTGCTGACGATGGGCTTAGGTCGTTACAAATGGTTATAGAGCTAGACACCAAACGGTGTGCCAACAAGGACGCTGAGCCCTTAAGGGGTGGTTTGTGAGATCCCACATCAGTTGGAGAGGGGAACGAAACATTCCTTATAAGGGTGTGGAATCCTCTCTCGTGGACACATTTTAAAATCTTGAGAGGAAGCCCGGAAGGGAAAGTCCAAAGAGAACAATATCTGCTAACGGTGGGCTTAGGTTGTTACAAATGGTATCAGAGCCAGACACCGCGCAGTAGGCCAACAAGGACGCTGGGTCCCCAAAGGGGTGGATTGTGAGATCCCACATCAGTTGAGGAGAGAAACGAAGCATTCCTTATAAGGATGTGAGAACCTCTCCCTAGTAGACGCGTTCTAAAACCGTGAGGCTAACGACCATACATAACGGGTCGAAGCCAACAATATCTATTAGCAGTAGACTATGCTTATCTGGTTCCCCTTTTCTTTTCTACCAGTGGTGCTCCACACTTGAACATCAATCTCCAAATGAACTATTGGCCCTCCCTTCCATGCAACCTCAAGGAGTGCCAGGAACCATTGTTTGATTTCACATCCTTCTTGTCTGTCAATGGACGCAAGACAGCAAAAGTAAGCATCTTTACCTCTGATAGCATCCAAGCCATCACAAGATTTCCATCATAGGGAAGAAACATTCTCAACCTTGTCTGTTTCATTGACCTCACCTGTTCTTGAACATTATAGGTGAACTATGAAGCAAATGGTTGGGTAGCTCATCAAGTGTCAGACATCTGGGCAAAAAGCTCTCCGGATCAAGGGCAGGCCGTTTGGGCTCTATGGCCAATGGGTGGAGCTTGGCTCTGTACCCATCTGTGGGAGCATTACACATACACAATGGACAAGGTAAGTTCTTGCTTGTCCTTTGTACTGCAAATTCATAAGCTGTCACCTCTAAATGGAACTTTTGGTGCAGAATTTCTTAAGAAACAAGGCATACCCTTTGATGGAAGGATGCACATCGTTTCTGCTGGATTGGCTAATAGATGGCAAGAATGGATATCTAGAAACAAACCCATCGACATCCCCAGAGCACATGTTTATAGCTCCTGATGGTAAGCCTGCTAGTGTGAGCTACTCAACAACAATGGATATTGCTATCATAAAGGAGGTTTTCTCAGCCATCATAGCTGCTGCAGAGGTGAAGCTTGAACTGAAACCTTTTTTTACTTCATGTACTGCACGGATTTGTTTATGTTTTTCTTTACAGATTCTAGGAAGAAGCAAGGATGCTATTATTGACAAGGTTCGGAAGGCTGAAGCTAGGCTATTGCCTTATAAGATAGCTAGAGATGGTTCTCTTATGGAATGGGTATGTAAGTATCTCGTCTCTTAACCAAGAACATTGAAGAACTAACTATCTACACCGCCCTAACTCGACTAACCCGACTAACTTGACGACGTTTCTTGGTTAGGCTATTGATTTTGAGGACCAAGAAGTGCATCATCGACATGTATCACACCTGTTTGGGCTGTATCCAGGACACACCATATCTGTTGAGAGAACTCCCAACATTTCGGAAGCTGCAAATAATACTCTTCATAAGAGAGGTTTCTATTTGTCAACCAAATTCTTTTCTTCTACTTTAGGCTTTATAGACATAGGGTGCTCTAGATTATCTCGTGCCAATGAAGTGAGATCCCACATCGGTTAGAGAAGGAAACGAAGCATTCTTTATAAGGGTGAAGAAACCTCTCCCTAGCGGACGCGTTTTAAAACCTTGAGAAGCTCGGGAGGGAAAGCCCAAAGGGACAATATCTGCTAGTGGTGGGCTTGGGTTGTTGCAAATGGTATTAGAGCCAAACACCAAGCGGTGTGCCAGTGAGGACGTTGGGGCTCGAAGGAGAGTGGATTATGAGATCCCACATCGGTTGGGAGTAGAACGAAGCATTCTTTATAAGGATGTGGAAACCTCTCCCTAGCAAACGCGTTTTAAAAACCTTGAGGGAAAGTCTGAAATGGAAAGCTAAAAAAAGACAATATCTATTAGCTTGATCACTGCACAAAACAACTGTGGTTCATGTGAAACAGGAGAGGAAGGTCCAGGATGGTCGACTGTGTGGAAGATCGCGCTATGGGCTCGTCTTTGGAACGGTGAGCACGCATACCGAATGGTGAAGCATTTGTTCGAGCTCGTGGATCCAGAGCATGAAAGTGATTATGAAGGTGGCCTGTACAGCAATTTGTTCACTGCTCATCCCCCTTTCCAAATAGATGCCAACTTTGGGTAAGCTCAAATGAAACACTATCCTTTCTAGCTACATAGTTTACCTGATCATTGCCTGCTCCTTCTGTTGGGCTATCCAGATTCTCAGCTGCCATTGCTGAAATGCTGGTCCAGAGCACTGTCAAGGACCTGTACTTGCTTCCTGCTCTTCCCGGTGATGTCTGGTCCGACGGTTGCGTTAAAGGCTTGAAGGCGCGGGGTGGCTTGACGGTAAACATCTGCTGGAAGGGAGGCGATCTCGACGAGGTCGGTGTTTGGTCGTCGGAACAAATTTCGGTTACAACATTACACTACAGAGGGAGTAAAGTAGCAGCAAATTTAACATCTGGTAAACTCTACACTTTCAATAAGCTGTTGAAATGTGTTGGAACATGCTCTCTTCTACCAAACAGCAATGGGTTTCCAAATCCTTGAAGCACATGTTCTTTGATGATTCTTTCTGTAACATGAAAGGTTTCCAAATCCTTAAATATAATTTCTAAGTTTGTTCGGCCACAAACACTGCCTGCACATGCATGTTCAACCATCTGCAACATAACAACGTTGGATCTCAACGTCATCTCGGTTCCCAACATGACCCATGCATCCTCATGTCATCCCATGTCTTGGGACAGCTCAACCATCTTGATTTGCTCGAACACATTCGTCGGGGACTGACCTATGTGTCGATCCTCATCAGGACATCCCAAACATCCATTCATCTAGGTTTTCTCAAACATTGAACGCTCTTGTGTCCATGTTAAACAATCTACGATATACGTTTTAAATAGCGAGTGCATAACCTAACCTCCAGGCTACATGTTGACTAGCTTCATAGTACTTAAAACCCTCGCACTGCTACACTCCGCCTTCGTCGCATCTTTCTCAATTTTCATTAAAGAAGAAATGGCTTGGCGCTCTTCTGGATCTCTATCTCGCGCGCTCATTTCCTCTGTTAGGTCTTCTTCTCTCCGATCGTCTCCTTCTCTTCCTCGGCTTCGCCTGCCACCTCTCACCGCTCGACCTCGCCTTTCATTTTCGACTTCCAGGTACTACACAAGTTTCTAGACTCGCGGCTTGGTTTCCTTGCGAAACGAATCGACGAACGAATTACTGAGGAATAAATGCCGTTGAATTGTGATTTATTTGATGCTCGATGTTCGTTCTTTTTGCCGTGTTGATCTCTGTTTACTATTGATTTCGGCTTTTGTAAATTTAGAATCATTTGGAGGTTGAATTTCTGTTGTTTATGTTTTTATCTTAATTTCAGATTAATTTTAATGCATTTTGAAGTTTTTGTTATCTGTGAAGTTATTTGTGATTGCGTTGTAAAAGAGTTGCATAAAGCTTGTTAGCAATTATCCTTTACATTCCGACGCAACACTAGACTCGACCATTTTTCAGAATTATCACCGCAGGAAACAGCCTATCAAGTTTCTTATTATCTTAATTAAGGCCTTCTCAACTCTGCTGAGCTCAAAGGTTAATCACACGAACAGGAACCCCACCAATATTTCCAGAGTCTTCCCTATTCCATCTGATTTTTGAAAAATTCATCACATTATTACTTATGATCTTGTCTCTCTCTTGATCATCTTTGATTGGAAGGCTCTTTTCTGAGGTGCTTGATTGCAAATTTCTCGATTTCTTTCGTGAGCTGGTGCCACAGTTTACTCGTTTTTGTTTCAAATTGTCGTTTCCAGGAATTTGGGAGAACTGGGATGCACACAGTCTCTTCTGCCCATGCACAGCATCATGGGTGCTACCTGCCTGACATCACACCTCTGTGTTAGCGCGCGGGCTTTTTGCGAGCTTTCTCATGGTACCTTCTGCCGTACTTGTCAGGATCGCTAGTATCCTTCTGTGAGTTTTGTTTATAGGAAACATGAAAAACATATTGGAATCGTTTCTTCGTAAAGTCATTATTTAGTGCGACCATCGCTATAATCATCACGATGTCATAACTTGTCAGTGAATTTGTGTTTGGATCATATGATGTGGCATTACTTATACCATTAAAATGTGATTTGGTAAGAAGAAATTGGATTGGGATGATAGGAAGGAATGGAAAAGATGGGTGATGCACGAGGACATTCTATTATTGGCAAGCCGGAGATCGTCACAACAGTTGTAGGTCCCTTTTCTGACATTTTTATTCAGTTCCCCTTAATTTCCACTTTGTAGTAGTATTTTTTTGTGTTCTTTTCTAAAGTTCATAAGAAAAAAAGATATCTGAAGTGGCGCTGGAGAATTTATGTTGTTGAGGTGGGGGCAAGAAGAAGATGTTTGATCCTGTTTAGTGAATTAACTTCTTTTAGTTGTCAATTTATTCACTTCCATCAATGGAAAAAGTGAAGAATTATTGAGTCAGGGAACTCGCTCACTTAAATTCTCTCAGAAGAATGTGTTTGAGGTTGATGCGGGTGTACGTACATCTTTCAAGATTACTATCAAGGATGATGTTCAAAGCATCTGCCATGATGGATGATACTTCATCTCAGTCATATGCATAAAGCTTTTGAGCTGACCTTTCTCGTTTCTTCGCTAGAAAACCTGTTCTGTACTGATAAGCTGCACATAAAAGTACCCATGGGTTCAGGAGGTTGATAGCCTGCTTGCACACTATGTTTGTTACTGGGTCCATAAGCTGAACTGAAACTAATACAAGCTCTGTTGAGGATTATCGAGAGCTCCAATACTATCTCCATTGGTATGAGGTCTTTTGGGGAATCCCAAAGCAAAGCCATGAGAGCTTATGCTCAAAGTGGACAATATCATACTATCGTGGAGAATCGTAATTCCTAACAAGCTCTGTGTTCATAGTCTAAATCTTACACAAATCTTATTCATTTGTTAGGGCGTGATTATACCACGAAGGTTGATCCTTTGTACCCTCTGTTTTATTATTATATTTAATATTTTCTTGGTATGTGCCTAGGATTCCCTTTCTTCTCCTCTAGGTTTTCCTGGATTAGAGAAGTTTGGTTCTTTGTCTGATTTGTGCTAATCATTTTTTAATTTCTGGCAGTGGTAGTCTATATGTGATACAATGTAGCGCAGGATATTTTCTACGGGTGATATGTTTGTGATGTACACTTTCAGAGCCATGAAGCATTTTATCATTAAACCTGGCGTAGTTTAATAAAGAATTCAAATAAAAGTTAAGGTGTTCGTGTGTTATCAAGTTCTTATATGCTTTTCCATTTTGTTTTACATTGCAGGTACTTGAGTGATCTCCAGTAGAAGCACACATGTGAGCAATTCTATGTGGGGTGAAGTTGGGTAGAGAGAGAGAGAGAGAGTTTCTGGTAACTTTATTTGGTATGTGGATGTAATAACAAAATATTTCTAGCTGTTCAGGGAATTCATCCTATTGATTCCCATAAATTATCAAATACTTTTGGAAGATGTATGCCTTTTTCATAAGGTTATGTGTGTTTTTACACACTAAAGGTTTCATTTTTCATATATTCAATTGTAAGTGAATTATATTTGTTCATGGGATATGGAACTTTTGAAGCACCAATTAGAGTCGAGCGTGTCGCCGTTTGAAGGGAACAGTTCAAATCACATATCCAATAATCGACACGAAGTAGAATCATGTATGGTTTCTAAATGCTTGTCTGTATTCAGCTTTCAAGGGTTTTAAAATGTGATTGGTGTTTTGAGTGGCTGTTGTAGCTCTGCTCATATTTGAAATCCTTGTTGTAGGTGGGAGCGCAATAGCAACAGGCACATGGGATTGCCGAAGCCGATTTTGATTGACACTAACATATCATGTTTATAAAGCCAGGTTTATGGTTTATGGTTTTATTTGGTCCACAATGTAATGTAAATTCATGTATGGCTGCTTGCAGGTGCACTTGGAGATCTTTATTGATTTCTACGGCCCATAACCTAAGCTTAGCTGGTGGTGTTGTTTCCTACAATCTGGACTGGCCCCCTCCTGCTTCCTTTGATAAAAACTTGTCAGGAAACCCAAAATACTACCTGCTATTCAACAATGGGGACCTTCAAACCCCATCACTATTCTTCCCCCCACCCTCCATAAGGAACTTGATTGGAAATGGTAACAGAGTAAGGACAGAAATGGTCTCTCCAGTCTCGATCTATGGCCCCATCTAAGGTTTTAATGTTCATTTGCAGCAACAAGTCTTGGAAAACGGGCTGAGTTTGAAGATTCCTCCTTAAGGATTCAGGTTTTTCTTCAAACAATTTTTTGATTATTTCCTCTTAGCTACAATTCCTTTACCTTAGAAGTAACTGAGCTTCTAGCTACAACGTAAAAAGCTGATTTTTTTTTTGGGCTAATTGATGTTCATAGTGGAAGGGTTAAGTCAGTGGCAGGAAGAATGGAGAGATTTTTCAATCACAAATTGTAAAATTCTCTCTCTCTCACGACTGTATATCTAATATACAGAAGAGGACTGTTCTGAACCCCAGTTAGAAAGTAAGTGCACTTAAAAAGTATGAGAGAATCCACTTGACTTTCCTTCACTGCTTGCATGATCATCATCCCCATGATTTACGAACCCTTTATTTCAAGCTTAGCTTCTACTATAGTGTCATCAAACAGTAACTCACATTTTCCATCATATTTAATCGCACTGTCGAGATAATGCAATTCTGTGTTCTTTGATCAGAGTGGTTGTCAAGCTTTCTTTAAAATGCCTTAGTTGATGCCTCATGATTCAACCTTTTGAGGTCAAGTTTATCCATTAATATTATTACTCTTTGCCACAAATTCCTTACTGAATTTTGGTTGAATGGATTCTTACCTTCTACTTGTAACGTTTCTTGACAGGTTTTTTCTTTTTGACAGTCTTCTGAGGCAAGTCTCCCTACATTGCCTTTTATTTCACATTCACTTTTACATGTAAAGGTATTCATAATCTATTCTCCCACTATTTACATTTGCTTAAGAATATCTATACTATATTTCACTTTTTTGTCATGAGCAATGCTGTCATCCAGAGAAAACAACTCACACAAGTTCTAGTCAATTCACTCTTAAGACACGAAATAAAGCAACGAGCAAATCGAACAGAATTAGACAACATTAGTTAAGTTCATGAAGGGTAAAGATCCAAATGTCCTCTTCCCCTTTCTCCTCACCAGGAGACAGGAAGAGAAAGATCCTGTCTTAGCCTAGCCTAAAGTTTTGCAGACAAGATCACATGAGTAAGTACTTCCAATTTCCTGCCCAAATTCAATAGCTAACTTGTAATAAGAAAAAACAAGCAAACCTCAACATAGAAGACAAACTAACCAATTCAGGGTTATCCATATTGCATAAATAAAAGTGGAAGAAATAAGTACCTTCCCTTTCTTATCCTTCCACCGCCCCCTCAAGAAATAAATACAGAAGTACCAATCAAATATTATTTAGAAACATTACCCTTCACTAGCCAAAAGACCCATCTTTTCTTTGTGGGGGTACCATCCCTTTCCATGGGAGTATAATGGAAAGAAAGAACTTATTAGCAATGCATACAAAGGTGGCCCTTCAGTGGATTTCCCCTGTAGAAGGCATGTGATTAGGCTGAATGAATGCTTATGAAAAGGGTATAATAAAACTTAGTCATCATTATCCTAATCATGTACAATTAGGTCAACATGCAAAGCCATCTATATCTAATAAAGATGCTTAAACCACTATTATCTGCTTTGTGTGATGCTTCTTCTCACAACCTTTTTTTTTTTTTTTTTTTTTTTTT